TACTATAACATTGTCAGACTCAAAATTTAAATAATCGTATTTGACTAATCCAATTGCATTCAGCTGCAGATTAGCCAAATCGGATGACAGTCTGAGTTTTAGTTTTAATATATATTCACATGTTTTGCTACTGTTCTAATCTCATTGACACATTTTAAATTAGTTATTTATCTTGTGCATGAGCGTAGAAAAATCAAAATAAATTAGAATATTTACAGAAAGCAAGTTAGAAAAAATTGCCCCAAATTTTAATTTAGAAAAACTTGTTTAATTTAAATCCTATCATCCCCCTAGATAAAGTGTAACAAATGGAAATCAGTTGTAAAAAATCTTCCAGGTTAATAACAATGACTTAAATAAAATCGTTCTTAATTAAGTTGAAAGTGGAACGTCTTCCCCTTCAAAACGATTCGATCTTAAGGGTCATTTATGAAGAAGTTTATAAGTAATCGATTTGTCATCATCTCACTTCCTCTCAAACATCAAGATAAATAATGCAATTTAATAGACTAACGTGTTTCTATTTGACACACTTAATAACAGACAAGCATATTTTATATATATATATATATATATATATATATATTTGAATGTTCCGGGAATCGATGTCAATTTTTTTATTGGAAAGCCGTGTTAGCTCCTGACATTCCAGAAAGCATGTTATTTATGCCTCATAGCCATCTGTGTACATTGTAAAGCTACTTCTAGCCTACATACTTCGAGTTAATTGGGAAACTTTGAGAAAAATGCTTTCGTTTATCGGCATACTCAAATTCTTAGTATCTGTTAGGACGTCGGGGTAATATGTAGATCTTCATTCGAACGTTTGCATTTCCAAATTCACAATGTGGTGATTAAGGGGTTGATAATTCAAGTAAACTTGCTGATGGCGAGGTATAATGGAAATAAAAGTGACCTGGAAAATTAGAATCACCGCATAATAAAAAAATATGGTGTATTTACAAACTAATGCTGATTGCATATAAATCGGCATTTTTTTTCAAAATATAAACTTGCGATATATTTTTGGATTGAAACTTCCTGTATGCTTCTTATGGGAAATAAAAAAGTGTCAATACGTTCACTTGAAAATATTGTGAATAACTTCATTTAATTCAATAAATTAGACTTAAAATATCTTGTGATTTTTAACCTTTTCTAGTGCCCCTATGACTTTTAGCATAATTTAACGTAATTAAAGAGAGATAACCTAACTTTGAAAAGTGATAGCTAAAATATTCAATAGTTAGAAAAACTGGGAAAAATTAAAAATGACCAATTTTGCAATTTGTTCAGAATTTAAATTTCGATTTTAAAAGAATTGATAAGTAGTTTAAAGCATAGGAAAACAGTCATAATTTTAAAGATCTAAGTAAAACTAGATCGAATTTAACCTATTGTTTAGCAAATTTGTATTTAATTTATTGATTGATTTATTTCTTTTGCCTTATGCTTGCTTTGTCAATTTATCTCTATCAAGTCGATTTTTAAATCTTTTATTCATATTTTAATTAGAGTTTTCAAAGAATCAACTTATTTGGTTTTAATGCCGGTTAAAATAAATTATTTTTGACTACTCTTATTGTTTTTCAGATTTCTTGTGGTAAATTTTTACATATTAAAAAACATTATTTTATCACTGCCTTTTTATTGAAGTTTATAAAATGCAGTCATTTTACTTAAAAAATGTTTTTGGTTACTGTTAGGGCAAATGGAAATAAAATTTTCAAAAGCATGCGAACTATCCTAAATTACCTATTCAAATTAACCAAGGATAATTACAAACTTTCTTGAGTTTAATTCTGGAGTCAGTTCAGTTATAAAGCAATAATTGAACGACTCATAAATACTTCTCATTATTTACTCAACCCCCCCCCCCATTGAACAAATTGGAATTCAGAGCGATCACACAAAAAGCTATCATTAGTTAATAAATGAAACTCGAAAAATGTTGGAATTACTTTTATCGAATTGAAAACTCCGAGAGTTATATTTTGTTGCGAGAATGTTCCAAAATAATGAATCGAGTTAATATTCACTTCTACCAACTACAAAATAATCCCGTATTTGAAATATGGAATTATAATTCCATATTGATCCGTGACATGCAAGAAAAGTTCCACGTTGGTTTGTTAGTGAAAGTTTGAAACATACAAATTGCTCATAGTTAAGATATTGGCTCCTTGACGGTGTTCACGTATTTTCGTCATTGACAACGGAAGCACAGAATGACCCTGGAAACTTATAATATGTTACCTCGTTATTCTGGTCGTATCCTGTGAGGCATTATCTACCCTACATTTTAATTTTCCCTGCCATCTTTAAAGTAAAATGTTCAACTATGGAAGATATCGAAGAAATTATTTTTACCTAGATTCATTGAGTATTCTTAAATTTTGAAAAATTATTATATTATTCACATGTGATTGTAGGAAAAATTGAATGATTTGACACAACGCCAATTGCTTCTCGAGTTTCTCAAAAGAAGATCTTGTAACATTTATCATTTTTAGATATCCAGGCACCAAGAATCTTATTACTATAAAATAGTAATAACAATTTAGCATTTAGTAAAGTTATTGTAAATATTAGAACACTTTTTCCGCAAGTGGAAGATTTTGACAAACTGGAGCCGTCAATTCCGGCCTCAACTTTATAAACCCGGATCTCTCATTTGACTGATTGCATTATGATTGACAATAGTTAATCTGAAATTAGACATTGATGATTCTCTAATTTTCAATTCAAAATAGCTACTGAAAAATGCCCATCAAACTCTCCTTTTCTTTCATATTTACTTTTTATTAATGATTCATTAAAAGGAGTTTAGATTTAGACTAGGATTTCGGAATTTCTTCCTAGTGAGCGCTGTAATTCTTTGTTGAAAATATCTAACCAATCTCCCATTCAAGGAGAAATTTCAAATACATTGCTGAAGTACACGCTGCAATAAACCCACAGAAACTGGGTTTACGATACTTTTATTTACATGAATTTCATTAAATCTTATTTTATTTCAATCTTCCTTCTAGATTAGAACTATCTACGAACCTTAGCATATTTTCCATATTCAAGAGTAACCGAGATTAAAATGCTGCAAACTTTCTCTTTCATCCTCACTTTGGAGAGTTAATTATAGTGGAGAGTTATTTGGTCACTAATCATGTCACTAAAGGATTACGTATTTATTTATTTATTTCAAATGGCGGGCTTTATGACACTTATCATTAGCCCTTTAGCTGACTTCGGGCTTCACAGAGGGAAGATTCATCAAAGTAGCAGAAAGTCGAGGGGTGGGGAAGAAAAGAGCGATTCACAGATGTAAAAGAGGCAGGCAGACACAAAGGTAGAGAAAAAGGTAAGGTGAGTATAGTGAAAGGGGTCGAATATGACAACCAGGGGGGTCGTGGAAGTTTGAAGTCAGAAGTCAACTGTCGATCAATAGACTTTTTTGTCGTATGAGTATACGTTGCCCAGGGTGCACCACGTGGAGGTAAGTCTATCGCACACCCCGGATTACGTATTTTGTTTCCTCGAAAGTGTCACTCTGATCAAGTAAGATTGATAGCAAAAACATTGTACAGTAAATGCCATTTAATTACATTAGAACTACCTTGATAATTTACCTAATTCTTAAATAGTTTTTTTAGTTTAATTTACTTGGATATGGCTTACTCACAATGTCAATCAAATCAAGAACCAAACACGAATGCTAAATCAGGTGAAATAAATGTTTGCATGTTAAAAACAACTAGCGGCAATTTATGTAATGTTAAAATGGCTAGTAGTGAGGGGGTGGGGTTGTTTACACTGGCAATTGTAATAATTATTAAAACAAATTAAATTTTGCATCGACAGCGAGAAAATGTTACAAAACTTAAACTAATTCCAAATTCCAATTTTTGTTCATCCTAAGTTAAAATTTTGTTTCGCTGTTTACGAATTTTCAGGTAGACCAATTAGTGCCTGAAGGTCAAGGAAATTGTAGTACATTTAACTTATAAACATTCTTTCAGCTAATTAGTTATGCGGTAAATTTGAAGAAGAAGCCCAACAAATTATGGAAATATGTTTGTTTTTTATTTTGTAGATATTTACAGTTCTTCATTTTGTGTTTCAATTTGTGGTACCTTCGATCGTCATATCCTTCTGTTACTTCTACGTCAGTCGACTATTAAGAAACCGACGACAACAAAAATTGGGTTCTCGATTTCGTAACATCCAGAAACAGGATCTAGAAGTGCGAAGACACAATAAGACAAACAGGTAGGCATAACTCCTGCTTTTCATGTTCCACCCTCTAATATGGAAAGACACTGCTTTTGCATCTAAGCTCGGAGAGAGTAAAGTATTTTCGTTTGGAATAATGGAAATACAATCTGTTGTTCAACCTGCCAACTGCATAAGTAAGCACATACCAAGCGAAATTGCATGAAACTGAAAAAACACAACAGCAAGACAGTTCAAAATAGAGCATAAAGAAGATGTGGAGGCTAGAAGAGGGAGAGAGAGAAAAATGGTGGAAAGATTTGGTTGTCAAAAAGTCAAAGTCAAATAGACTTCTGCACCTAATGCGTTTGCTGTGTTCTTTTTTCCTCATAAAAGTGATGCTATGCTGTCATGCTTTTTACTACTTCATAGAAACTTAACTTTTCACCAGATTCTTGCTTTTGTTCGAAAAAGTTGATGTTCTCCGTATTCAGAATTACAAATATTTGCGTGTTGAATGGAGATCTCGAGGATTGCTATGTTGGCACAAATAAATGCGTGTTGAAAAAAAGCACAAAGAACATATTTCATGAACATGAATTTAACATGAAAGAGTTTGCGGAGCGCTTCATCACTGGGTTTTCTTTTTAACTATGAATTATAATTCCTACGAAGAAAATGTTTTTTTATTCAAACTCAGTAATGGCTTTTAAAGTCCAATGTCTCGATTTTGGTTAATTGCGAAATTTTATGCACACCTTATTTAGAGATATTAGAATACCATAAGCGTTTGTTAAGCTGTTCTAGCGTATGTGGAAGTTCAATCTACTACCCCTTAAAAATATAAAGTCTCTTTGGGAATTGGGAAAGTACTTGAAACATCTAAATTTCATGATTTAGACGGCAATCATAATTAATTTTCTTCATTCAATCATTTAAGAATTGGACATGAGTGATCGTTATCGAAAAGACAAGATGGTATGTAGTTGGATATTCTTGTGTCAATGTAGACAGGTATAATTTAATTTTATATAGAAAATCCGGCACCGTGCTTGAATACATGGTTGATTGAGTAGTCGATATACCTGTATCGATTTAATGATATCCAGAGACCACTAAAACATGGAGATGATGTTAAAGTGT